CTTCCAACAGCAGTGAAATGTTCTTCTTTATTGTCTATTTTCTATTAAATTATCTTGCATGTGGGGGAGCTGGTGAGCCGGCAATGGAGTAGGACGTGTTGAGAGTGGCTCCTGCCTAACTTCCTTTAAACTTTTGTTTTACTTTTGTTTTTAGTTTGAGCTTTAATTGCCGCATTTATGGCCGCCAGTCTTCGTAAATACAAATACAATGCCACTGCAAGCAGTAGGCCCAAAGCCTCCAGATCGCAAACTACTGCTGACCGCTGCAATTCACCACCAAGCCCACAGGCAGAGCCAAAAATGGATGATGTGCCTCTGAAAGCCGAGGTCTTCACCTCATTGAGAATGGACATTTCTGCCATTATCAAGTCACAGCCAAAGTGCACTTGCGGAAGAATTAAGCTCTCTAAAAGAACAAGCTAAAAGAAGTCAAATCCGGAATTGCGAACAGCACAACAACCATTCACTCTGAAATGGACGCTATGAGGAATACCATTAACAATGTGGAAGAAGGTTTGTCAACATGGTCGGACGAGGTAACGACACTGTAGACTATAGTGGCCGGGCTCAAAGACGAGGTAGCTAAACTGAGGGAGAAGTGCAAGGACATGGAAGGGAGGATGTGGAGATGCAACATCCGTATCGTGGGTATTGTGTAAGAACCTGGCTCAAGCTCTACTGTGGCAGTTTCTAAGCTACTGAAAGAAGTGCTACATCTGGAAAAAGACATTCTAGTCGATCGCTCGCACAAAGGCCTTGACCCCACGAAAGCCCAATGGAAGGCCACGAGTTATCGTTGCCAAACTTCATTACTATCAGGACTGTGTGGATGTGCTGCGCCGAGCCCAGGAGAATGGACCGCTTCACTACAAAGGAGAACAGATTGCCATCTTCCCTGACTATACTGCGAGTGTGGCCAGGGTTCGTGCTGCGTTCAGTGATGTCAGGAATCTTCTTCGAGGCTGACGGGACAGTCACTATGGTATATTATTCCCAGCTCGACTACGCATCTCGAACAATGGAGACGTCAAGGAATTTCTGGATCCAGTGAAAGCAAGGGCGCACGCGAAAAATATCATTACAGCAGCAGAGCATCTATGCCCCAAACATTGACGACAAGACCTTTTTTATTAAACTTTTCTCTAGGCTTTCAAACATGGATTCACATCATCTCATTTTAGGTGGGGACATAAATTATGTACTTTCTCCTGGCTTAGACTGCAGTCCCTCTATAGCGGGATATAAGTCGAAATCGGCCCAATCAATTAAATTCTTTCTTAAGATATATGGCGTGTCGGATGTATGGCGATTCTGCAATCCCATCTCTAAAAGTTACTCTTTCTTTTCCCCGGTCCACAAGATGTTTTCACGGATAGACTATTTTTTTTATAGATAAAAAGCTTCTCCCTGTGGTAACTGACTCTGAATATCAATCCATAGTCATTTCAGACCATAGCCCCCTTTTGATGAGGATGGGCATTCCGGGTGCAGTATCTAATTACTGCCCATGGAGGCTCAACCCCCTTTTTCTTTCCGAAGAATGTTTTGTAAATTTCATAAAATTGGAGATTGAATTTTTTCTCGCCCATAATCAGACCCCTGGGGTGTGGTAATCAATGGTATGGGAGGCGTTAAAAGCATATTTAAGGGGGCCAGATTATTTCATACTGTGCAATGTGTAAGAAAGTGGAAAATGAACGCCTCAGGCAGTTAACAGATGATATTTTGAAGCTGGATACAGTATACAGTCATTCGCCTGCCGATGACATACTTAACCAACATTTGATACTTAAAATGGAATTTGACCTTCTCTCGACACGTCAGACGGAAAACCTCATTTTAAAAAGCGGAACAAATTTTAGCACATCAATTACATCAAAGGACCGCCAATCAATATATCTCTGAAATAAGTGATGAACAAGGTTTAAAACATAATGACCATAGAAAAATAAGTTCATGCTTCCACTGTTACTATTCCTCCCTTTACACATCAGAGCCACCCGATGATGAAACCACGTTAGAGCATTTTTTTCATAATCTTGACATCCCTGGAATTGACAAAAATTTAGCTGCGGAATTAGAAAATGATATTTCCATAGCAGAGATTATAGAATCGATTAGAAGTATGCAAAGTGGTAGATCGCTGGGACCGGACGGCTATCCACCTAAATTCTTTCAGAACAACTTGCCCCACTTCTCTCTGTGTTTCAGGAATCGCTGGCATCTCAATCCCTTCCTCCAACTATGCACGAAGCAACTATTTCACTCATCTTAAAGAAAGACAAGAATCCTCTACAATGTAATTCATATCGCCCAGTGTCACTCCTGAACACAGATGTAAAGATCCTTGGAAACTCTTAGCCCTCCGCCTCGAAGTATCTCTTCCTTCCATCATTTCTACAGACCAAACAGGCTTTATGAAGAACAGGTACTCATTTTTTAACATAAGACGTGTTTTAAATATTCTTTTTAATCCATCTTCACCACTACCACTGAGATTTTACTATCATTTGATGCGGAAAAAGCTTTTGACGGGGTGGAATGGGCTTTTTATACCCTTGAAAAGTTTGGTTTTAACCCAAAATTTATAGCTCATATTAAGACTCTATATTCTTCCCCATTAGCTGCTGTGCATATGAATAACAAACTATCTACGTATTTTAAATTACAGCGTGGTATGAGACAAGGGTGTCCACTGTCTCCATCCTTGTTCCTAGTCATCAAACCACTTGCAATAGCTCTGCGACAAAATAGGCATATTAAAGGAATTAATCATGGAGGTCAGGAGCACAAATTATTGCTTTATGCAGATGATTTATTGCTCTATATATCAGACCCCCTGTCAAGCCTACCCAGACTGCCAGATTTGTTTAGTAAATTCAGCAAACTCTCTGGCTACAAAATAAATCTTTCTAAAAGTGAGCTGATGCCAATCAACGAGTCTGCTAAGAATATTTCTTTTAATTCAACTCAATGTGAAATTCAAATATCTGGGTATCTGGATCACACATAACTGTAAAGATCTTTACAAGACCAACATTCTACCCTTGATATCTTGCTTGAAACAGACATTAAACGTTGGAATCTACTGCCCCTCTCTCTTTGTGGAAGGATTAATACAATTAAGATGAATGTGGTCCCCAGAGTTTTATATGTATCTCAAAGTCTTCCTATCTTCTTGACAAAATCTTTCTTCAGATTCATAGATACACTGATATCAACTTTCTTCTGGAATAATAAACTCCCTCACATACGGAAATGCATATTGCAGAAACCACGTTCTGTGGGTGGTATGGCACTCCCAAATCTTCGTTTCTATTATTGGGCTGCGAATATCAATGTGCTGATGTATTGAATGAAGGATACAGAGGGCTTAGATACCCCCAAGTGGTTAATGTTAGAAAGCCCAGCTTGTAATTCCACCTCTGTATCTGTCTTACTGTGCTCTAAACTCCCATTGGAAAAGCCTATTTCTTGTTACAGCAATAGCCCCACTGTTGCACAATCAGTAAAAATTTGGACCCAATTTAGGTGGTCATTTACACTCAACAACCCCTCATTATTCACCCCCATAGCTAAAAATCACATGTTTATCCCCTCAACATCAGATGGAGCATTTAATATCTGGTCTAACAATGGGGTCTCATCACTACAAGACCTTTATATAGACAATAACTTTGCATCCTTCGAACAACCGGTGATCATATTTTTTTAGATACTCACAGCTTCGGAGCTTTGTAGCCTCACATTTTGACTGTTTTCCTCTTTACCCTCCCACGTCATTGATGGACTCTATCTTCAAACTCAGGAAAGGTGTTAAGCAGTGTATTGACAGGATATATCCGTTTCTCATCTCTCATAATTTGTCAGCTTTAGATGACTTAAGAGCAGGTGGGAAGAGGACTTAGATGAACAAATTCCAGATGAGACTTGGCAGAAAATTCTTCGAAGAATGTACTCATCTTCAATTTGTCAAGGCATTTTGTCATACAGTTCAAGGTAGTACATCGACTTCATTGGTGTAAGGTTAGACTGTCCAAAATTAGACCTGATTTGGACTCTACATGTGATAGGTGCAAGCAAGACCCTGCAAGTTTACTACATACGTTTTGGACATGCCCAAGATTATATCACTTTTGGAAATCTATTTTTTATACTCTCTCTAAAATTCTGGAAGAACCAATAAGCTACTCTCCTTATATTGCATTATTCGGTGTTGCACCACCAGATACCCAAATGAATAATTATAAATGCAACGTATGGGCCTTTTGTACTCTGCTCCTAATTATTCTCAGTGGATCAAAGAGGTTAGGCAGTACCTCAAGTTGGAGAAGATGAGATACTCTCTTCATGGATCTTTACAAAGATTTTTTAGGATTTGGCAGTCTTTCTTAACATATGTGGATAAAATGGAAGTTGAAAATGTAGCTTCATAATATGTATTTATTTTAAGTTTAATATTTCAGTTCTTTATAAAAGCTGTAAAGAATCTATACAGTTTCTCTTACTGAGGTAGGTCTGGAAGGTGGGCGGGATGGGTGTGTATGATGGGTAGGTTTGGGGTATGGGACTGCCTTTCTTTTGTATTTTGTGAAATCTTTAATAAAAAGACCTTGACCAAGATCTTGTATTTAATATCTTCAAAAATATCTATTGAAAATGAATAACTTGTACTTTATGGTGTTTTTGGTTAGAAATTAAATAAATACAGGATGGTCTTTTACAGAGTACAGTATGTACACATACACACAGTACAAAGACATCTGTGCACACTTTCATACAAAAGCAGACATAAACATATTAACATTAAGTTAATATTGCAAGAGCTACATAATTACCTTTAAGTCGAGATTCTAAACCACAGAAAAAATGGACCAATCTACTGATGTCACAGAGGTCTGTAAGCTTCCGCTTCTCATTTCTAAAGAAAAGACGCACATCAAACCACGATAAAGCTACTTCTTCTTCTTCTTCTTCCTCTTCTTCTTCTTCTTCTTATTATTCTCCTGTTGGCTGCTCTGCTGCCACACCTGAGTCACTCTGGTGAGTGTCACTTAGACCTTGTTAATACTTGGCATTAATATCTGTCAAGTGATCTGATAAGGCTGATGAGGATGAACAATTAGAGATATGAGATGTACCTAGTAATGTCCAGCAAATCCTTGTTTTCATGTACAAACATTGAGACTGCATAGATTGCTAACACAATTCATAAGCAAGCAAAAGAGGAAACGAAGAAAGAAACTACACAGTGGTGACACAGTTGATTAGGCAGTCTTTCCATGTTGTCATGGAGACATCAGGACACTTTAGTGTCTACACTACAAATGTTATGTGGCCATATGTGTCCCGAGGACCTCCAATAGTGGTTTGAGTGACTGGATCACAGTGCATCTCGACACACTAGACATTGTTCATGTTTCTTGTGGGCACAAACTTCAAGTAGATTGGTTTGGTTTGGTGTGTGAAATGCAAATTAAAACAGAAACCCGTGATTTGTAAAGGCAAGTTGACCTGTATTTCATTTAGTATGCTAAATATATAAAATATATAGTTCCTTACAAAAAAGTCACATGAATTTCATGTGTTTTGGAAAACGTCACATGTTAAAAATATGAAATTGAAATATGAAAAATATGCAATCATGGGAAAACGTGTTCACATATAACACACCTGTGAGTGCTTGTAAATGTGGTTTTTGCACACTTCATATATGAAATATATGTAACCTCTCTGTAAGGAATGTTTCACCTTATCAATCTCATTGTTTTATGTAAACAAATGATCATTTTGGAACTGATGCTTGCAAATCTTTCCAAAAAAAGATGGAACGTGGCCAATTTAAGACTAGGAACATTGTGAAACGTCATCTTAAACAGTTGAGGCAATAGGTAGAAAACTTGGGTATCAAGCAAGTATCTAAAAAAGGCCTAGTCCTCTTAGTAAAGATGGCCCAAGGCCTACCAGTTTGCCAAAAGAATAATCCAGCAGTTTGGGAACAAGGTTTCTCAGCAAGCAATTGCAAGGTTTTTAAGTATTTCACCCTCTACAGCAGTGGTCACCAACCCTGGTCCTGGAGAGCCACCTTCCTGCAGAGTTTAGTTCCAACCTGTATCCGATAAGCTGCCCTGCCCCTTACTTATCTCTAATACATCTAATCCAGCGAATCAGGGAATTGGGAAGAGGTTGATTAGTTGGAGCAGGTGTTGCAAAGTGTGGTTGGAACTAGGCTCTGCAGAAAGGTAGCTCTTCAGTACCAGTGTTGGAGACCACTGCTCTGTAGTTTATAATGTAATCAGAAGACTTGGGAATCTGGAGAAAACTGTGCATAGAGGACAAAGCTAAAAACAACAACCTGTGACCTTTAATCCCTCGGCAATGCATTAAAAACTGGTATGTCTCTGTGATGAATTTCACCACATGGGCTCAGGAACGCTTTGACAAACTGTTGTCAGTAAACACCATTCCTCAATGCATCCACAAATTCAAGTGAAGACCGTACTATGCACAGTGGAAGCCATATGTCAACAACGTCCAGAAATGTTGCCAACCTCTCTGGACTCAAGCTCAATTGAAATGAATAGATGCACAGTGAAAACATGTATTTTGGTCTGTCAAGTCAAACATTTCAGATTGTTTATGAAAATGAACGTCATGTTCTCGGGGCCACAGAAGAAAAAGATGTTCCAGATTGTCACCAGCGTAAAGTTCAAAAGCCAAGATCTGGGTGAATTAGCGCCCATGGCATAGGTAACTTGCACATCAGTAACACTTTACAGTACTGTTTCGTAGTTAATCAGGAAAAAGTAACTAATTAGGAACTAATCAGGAGTGAATAAGTAGTGCTGCATTAACTTTAAGTAACTATTAAGTATACTATTATATTAGTATACTATTAACTACCAAGGAGTTAATCACTCAGTAGGTACAAGTGAACTAATGATTGTTGTTTTTTTTTTTGTTTGTTGTGTAAATATACACTCATTCCATTTTTGATGCCCAAAATACAATTCATCCAGTTTTGAAAGCAAACTTTTATGCCATTCTTCCGTTAGACAAGTCTTCACTTGCACAACCAAAAGAGGCCTTCATTGTGGGTTTTTGTACTTCTTAATTTGCCACATTGTTTTGAAATAGGAGATCATTCTGGACTGCAACAGCTATGTGGTTTGAACATGTGCAGAATGTATTTTTGTATTGTCCCTGAAAAAGACGTCATCTAAAAGGAAGCATACCTTGCTCCAAAATGTATTTTTCAGTGTTGATGGTGCCTTCACGGATGTGCAGGTAACACTACAATACTGTTTCATAGTTAATAAGTAACTAATCAGGAACTAATCAGGAATGAATGAGTAGTGCTGCATTAACACTTCAGTAAATACTGTTAACTACAAAGGAGTACTAGTTGATTACTCAGTAGGTGATAGTGAACTAATTATTAGCTAATAACTACTGAGTCTCATAGAGACTTACTTAGTAACTATGGTTTCTTAGAATAAATACTCATACATTACTGATGAATTCAGCAGTAATTGCTCAATAGCTGAGCCTTACAAGGTTCCTGGTGAATGTAGTGTATTCCACTAATTCTAGCAGTATTGAAATACACTATACAGCGTGTAGTCTCTAAAATATAAAGTATAATATTCTCCAAAAAACACAATGAAAGTATCAATTGGTTGTGCAGGTAAAAGCTTATCTAACAGAAGAATGGCCTAAAATTTTGCCTTTAAAACTGGCTGAATTGTTGTATTTAGTCCCCAAGAAGCATTTTTAAAAGGAACTTTTCTGGAATGTCTTGGGCTTCTAATATGAAATGAGTGTATATTTGCAAAAAATATAGTTTCATAAGATACATAAGATACAAAGGTGTTTTATACTGTCTTCAATACACATTTGTACATTTTGTTTGTACATTTCATAAACATGAATCAAACTTGAGAATAAAAGTAGTGAATTACAGCGTGACATCAGTTTACTTTAAGTAATTCACACTGAGGTGAATTTTGAGAGACAAATACATGCAGAAAGTATGACTATAACTCCTCCACCTTCTTTCTCTCTCAGCCAGTGTTGTGGTTGGTATAATAAATGGCACAGAGGCTAAACCTCACTCCAGACCCTACAGGGTTTCTCGTCAGAAAAAAGGAAAACACATCTGTGGTGGTTTTCTTGTGTCTGAAGAATTCGTCATGATGGCTGCGCACTGTCAGAAGTTGTTTGGATAGTAAATTTAACTAATGAACATTTTCTTTTTCTGCATTTAGCACTTCCATCCTTTCCATTCTTCTTAAAGAAATCTTGAAGGTAAAACATTAAAATTTAGTCTTATAGGTTGGCTGCATTTTCTGCATCACATCATACAAGTAAATGCAGTTAAATTTCCTTTGCTCAGTAACAGCTTGTGGACAACAATACTTCCTTTCAGACAAAGTGTTTATCTGCTGGTTACATCATTGTTAAGAGTCCATTTTCTTTGTATCTTTGGTTCTTTTTTTTAACTGCAGTTTTGAAAATTCCTGTTTTTAGCTATTATTTTCTTTTGACTTTCCACTTCCTTATAGAGGCTAGAAAAGTATTAAATGAAGGGTGGTCTCTGACTTTTACATAGTAAAAGTAGTCTCATAACTTTTTACACAGTAGTGTATAGTCTCTTATAACTTGTCTTATTCATTTTGTTCTTCCCACAAAAATAATTCACTTATTGTCAATAAAATAGTTGTACCCAGAAGGAATTAACTGACAGGAATAAAACTGGGTGGGTAGGTTTGACATCATGAGACTGTAACATATGACCAGTCAGCAGATGCTTGTGGTTAAAAAACACAAACAAAGCTTTACTTGTGGACTCAGGCAAGTATAACATAGTCAGCAAACAGGCATGGGTCAGTTCCAATATAAACAGCAGTAGAGAAAGGGCTACCATAACAGACAGGGGGAAAACAGTGCAAAGTCCAAAAAGCAGGCGATGAGTCAAAACCATAAATCCAATAAACCAGACAAAAGTACACAGGGGCAAATCCAAAAACAGAGTCAGAGAAACGGAAAGCAGGTGGTCATACACATGATAGATAACAACAGGAAGAATGCTCAGTAGTTTCTCAAAGGAAAGCAATACCTCACAATGATTCTAGCTATAGCCCGGGCTAAAATACCATCTATCTGAGTCAAATGACACAAATGCACAGGTGCACAGCATTAGTATTCAGGTGATCTTGAATGGTGATAGGATGATAAGGATCTCTGCGGAGTCATGTGAGCTGGCTGACGATCCTGGGAAATGGAGTCCGAGTCATTACTGGCCAGCGAAGGAAATAGCTCCATCTCCTGATTCCCCAGTGTATTTTGTGGATTGTAGTTTGTTGGCTGACTAGCCGAATGAGTGACAGAGACATGTGAATGATTGAAGTTTCACGCTTGGCCGCACGTGGCGTAAGCAAGGACGGGCCTTATCGTTGTAACTGACTGACTATATAAGGTTGTCCTGTTGCGCATGCTTTTCATTCTGACTCATGCTGCTGTGTTGGTAGCATCCTTTGCAAGCGAAGTGTGCCTCAGAGAAGAGTTCGAAGGCAATTCAAACGACAGCCCAACGTTATGTTAATGATGAGAAACCAGTGACCCACAACAAGCTGCATGGGATGGATTATCGCAGGACACCATTAGGAACCTCTACAACACCATGCCGAGACATCTGACTTCTGTATGTGTAGCTCAATAAATATTGCCCATATCAGTCTAAATTTTAATCATTTATTGCTCCTGGTAACCTTTATCATCCTTGTGAATAGCACTTCCGTCTGGGTGCAACTATTCTTCTGACAATGAGTGTACAATTTAACAAGAAATTAAGTAAAACCTCAATTCCAAGAAAGTTGGGATGCTATGTAATATGTAAATAAAAAGAGAATGCAATGATTTGCAAATCTCATCGACCCATATTTTATTCACAATAGAACATAGAACACATATCAGATGTTGAAAGTGAGACATTTTACCATTTCATGAAAAACATTAACTTATTTAGAACTTGATGGCAGCAACACATCTCAAAAAAATTGGGACGGGGCAACAAAAGGCTGGAAAAGAAAGTGGTACTAATAAAAAAACAGCTGGAGGAGCAATTTGCAAAATAACTCAGACGACTGGTATGAAAAGAGCAATTTAGAGAGGCAGAGTCTCTGAGAAGCAAAGATGAGCAGAGGTTCACCAATCTGCAAAAACTGCGTCTAAAAATTGTGGTTCAATTTCAGAAAAATGTTCCTAAATGTAAAATTGCAAAGACTTTGGATATCCCACCATCTACAGTACATAATATTATCAAAAGACTCTGGAGGAATCCCTGTACGCAAGGGACAAGGCTGACGGTCAATATTGGATGCTTGTTATCTTGCTGTATCAGCTGTATCATGCAAAGAAGAAGCCATATGTCAACATGATCCAGAAACGCTGCCGTCTTCTCTGGGCCAAAGCTCATTTAAAATGGATTGAGGCAAAATGGAAGACTGTCCTGTGGCTTTTGGAATATGAAATTTCTTTTTGGACACAGATGCCGTGTCCTGCGGACTCAGGAGGAGAGGGACCATCCAGTTTGTTATCAGCTCACAGTTCAAAGGTCTGCATCTCTGATGGTATGGGGTTGCATTAGTGCCTATAGTGTGGGCAGCTTACACATCTGGAAAGGCACCATCAATGCTGAACAGTATAAAGAGGTTTTAGAACAACAGATGCTCTCAGCCAGACAGCGTCTTTCAGGGAAGGCCTTGCATATTTCAGCAAGACAATGCTAAACCACATACTGCATCAATCACAACAGCATGGCTTCACAGAAGAAGAGTCTGCTGAACTGACCTGCCTGCAGTCCAGACCTTTAACCAACATTTCACCAACTTTTGGTGCATCACAAAACAAAAATCCAGCAAAGACCGAGGACTGATGAGCAGCTAGAATCCTACTTCAGACAACATTGGCACAACATTCCTCTCCTTAAACTCCACCAATTGGTCTCCTCACTTCCCAGACGTTTACAGACTGTTGTTAAAAGAAGAGGGGAGGCTACACAATGGTAGACGTGGCCCTGTCCCAACATTTTTGAGATGCGTTGCTGCCATTAAGTTCTAAATGAGTTAATGTTTTTCATGAAATGGTAATGTCTCACTTTCAATATCTGATATATGTTGTATATTCTATTGATAAGAAAATAAGGGTCTGAGATTTGCAAATCATTGCATTCTGTTTTTTACATTTATTTACGTTTTACATAGCCTCCCAACTTTTTTGGAATTGGGGTTGTACTATTATCATTATTTAAGTACAAATAATGTAAAGGCCTTTCAGTGCAGTTACAAGAGCTATTAGTGGGCCAAAGCACAGCATCTAGCATTCTAGCTGGCTAATTTTGGTCTACAAACACTAATATAATTTTATTCAAATATTATATTTTACAAAGTCAGTGTCAAGTGTTCAGTAAGGAAACATGAATAGCATCTAATGTTAGCTAACTGTTTGAAAATGCAGTGTGTAGGTCAGCTGGGTGTAATCTGGGTTGCAGTGGAGGAGTGGAGCTTCGCAATATACTGTGCAGTCTTGTCTTGCTAGGCAAATTATTATCTTGTCACAGCTACGTGGAAAAGCCAAAAAGAGCAAAACTGTAAAATGGATCTCCATCCCTAAAACAAAGGAGGGCATCAAGGCCAACTCGGTCTGCAGTGTAGCTGGCTGGGGAAGAACAGGATCCTTCAAATCTGGTAGCAATCATCTTATGGAGGCCAAAAAAAAATGTAAGAAACTTTGGGAGAACCTTCTGACCCCAAGGATGATATGTGCACTTCATCCTGGAGGATCTTGCAGGGTATGGGAAAATTATTAATACAGGCAGTGTGGATTATTGTGTTGACCCAACACTGAACAATAAACCAAAGTAAATAAAGTGAGGATAGTAATGTGTTTCATTTGTGTGTTGTTAACAGAGAGACTCTGGAGGTCCTTTGGTGTGTGGGAATACTGCTATGGGCATTGTTTCCTTCGGTCAGAGGAACAAGTGTGATGCACCCATGAAGCCAAAGATTTTTGCCAAAATATCTGCATTTCTGCCCTGGATCAAGTCCATTATTAGGAAAGTTTAATCTGCATTTGACGAAAACCAAAGCATTCACCACAATTTCATCTCAATAAAAGCATTTTGCAAGCATATTATTTGATGACAATGTATATGAGAAATCCTGTGGAAATTCATCCTCACACTTCTGTATGATAAAGTGTAACAAATGAAGTCAAACATCAAGGAAGGAAAAAACAGGTTAATGGTGGTCTCCCAGGGCCTGACCACACAACTATAGACAACCTCTTAAACTTTTAGTGCTTGAATGTGATGAAGTCTGCTGTAAGCAAGGCCACACCCACTCTAAAACACACCCCATATTCCTCTGTAGTCTTTTAATGTCTGAAGTACAATCGATAACAAAAGCAAACCTAGTGAAACATTTTTAGTTGTTATATATTTTTAATGAGTTCTCTGCACATACAGTAAACATTTACATGCTTTTTTTTCTTTTTGTTTTTGGGGTGACTTTTTAGCCATGTTAACATTAAATGCAGTGGCTTTTTGTCAGTGTTGGAGCACACCATTGTCCCCTACTTTGACCTCCTCCTTCTTGAGGTTTTGGGTTGGTTTACAGATATGATACTCAGTTTGTTCCCACCTCAATACGTCTACGCTCCCGCTCACACATAGCCCAAAATTTCTCATGGTTGTCCCCAGATATTCTCATAACGAGATCAAACTGGGCCCCACGTGAGCATTTTAATGGACACTTGGAGATACATAGGAGATTCTAAGGGAGCAAGATACTGAACAGACCCTGAGTCAGCAGCAAACAGGACACAGTGCTTAGATGTAAATACAAAGCAAACACGTGTTAAAGCAGGACCAACAACTGGGAAAGCACAGAGATAGAAAATCAGGAGATGTGCAGAAAATAAACAATACTTTTTAGGTTACAGGTCTGTGGATCTACTCAGTGTTGTGGCAAGAGTGACCTCTAGAAGTGAGGAGTGGAATCCCCAGGCACAGATGTGATATATAGGCCAGATTCATGCCAGTTGTCAAATAAGCTTCAGTGTTCAATGTTTACTCTATCTAATAGTTATAGACCAGTTTCCACCTAAACCTGCATGACTTCTTTTAGCAGAGACGGCGGGGGTCCTTTCGAATGTAATAAAATTGGTATCAGTAAAGTTTGTGTTTGGAAGTAGGGGAATTGTTACCATAAAGCAAATGGCTTTCTAAAGACATCTAAAGATATGAAACAAAGAGTGCTTCAACATTCATTTTTTCAGTGAAGCCTTTATTAGTACTGAAAATGAAAACATTGAGATGTCTCTGGTCAAATGGTATGTTCTGTTGATTTTCTAGGTGAAAATAAGTTAACACATCCTCCACAAAGAACACACTACTGCACATTTTAACCCCTTACCAAGCCATGGGTCCGCTGGCCAGCCCAAAGTTTTATTTCACACTACTATAACCTAACAAAAGTTCCATTAGTTTGCATTGAAGTCCCTGTAGTTAATGAATAATAAGCCCTAGCCTGTAATAAGACTGTAATGTTAAGGGGTCACAGACCTTTTTTCCAAAATCTTTTCTGCATATTTCGAGTACCATGATGCTCTGCATTTTATGTACCTATGGCCATGTAAACATTGTATGTTCTATTTGAAAACCAAATAAAAGAAAAAGTTGACACATTTTATATTTTAGGTTTTTCCCACAATATATCAGTAAAAAAATTAATTACTCCACAAAAATATGCAGAAAAATTCCATATTTAAGGATATTGTCTGTCAAAGGTGTGTTATCTTATTTCACTTAGAAAATCAGTAAAACATTAAGGATAACATTAGTCATTTGACTTGGGGTGTTCAAACTTTAGTATATGCCTGTATGTGTATATATACTTACACAGATGGGCATATACAGCAACAAAAATAAATAAATAAATAAATATAATAATAATAATAATAATAATAATAATACATACATACATACATCATCTAAACTGCTTATCCTTCTGGGTCGCGGTGGGGTGCTGGAGCCTATCCCAGCTGTTATTGGGCGGAAGGCAGGATACACCCTGGACAGGTCGCCAGTCCATCGCAGGATAATAATAATAATAATAATAATAATATGTTAAAACCCTTATATGGCCAGGGCCCACCAGCAGGCCCAAAGATTTATTACACACTTCTATAATCTGAGAATAGCTCAGTCAGTTGTACTGAAGTCCCTGTAGTTACTGAATAATAAGCCTTTTTTGTTTGTGATAAGCCTGGGATTTTAAGAGGTTAACAGTTATTTATATTGCCCAAGCTCAATGTTATGCCATATCCAAGAGCACTGGGGCATCAGGACTGGGCAGGGAAGAAGAAAAAGCATTATTTTTTTTAATGGCATTAGTTACTACCCATCTCCAAGATCACATAACATGGCAGCAGATGGTTCTCAGTATCTTGTCATCTAATGAGACATTCGGTGTTTCTGAGACAAAATTAGGCTGTTTTAGTGTTATTGTTTGCATGTGATTGAAAGTTTAGATGACAGATTAGTGCAGCAGTTAGTAGCACTGCACTTTACCTGTAGAATCCAGTTTTCTGAGTTCGATGAGTGTCATTGACACAGAACACAACAAAGCCTCAGCTTACTCAAACTGAGACCACAGGAGTGACCACAGACACTATTCTAATACCAACTGTGAATGTTGTGGCAGAACAAAAACACGACCTCAAACTGCACACAAGACTCCATGAAACATGCATTCTTGTTGTTCTTATCTTAAAGTATCAGTCTGAGAATAAAAAAGGCTTTTGAAATACTTTTCTTAATTTATTTGAAAATCTTTCAATTAAAGATTTATAAAAGCTGTTATGGGATCAAAGAGAAGTCCCACACATCTGTGAACACACCCTCTTGACAGGTCCAAACCTGTTCATCACAAATACCTGTACATCAGCTGTTAAAAAGCTGTCACATACAGATATATGTTTATTACTTACATGTACTTATATTACTGTATTACTGGCCAACTATTGATTGATATAAGTGGCTGGGGTGATTTAACCAGCGACTTGCAAAAAAGAAATGACTGCAGACACTTCTCCTGTGCAATGTGTGCTTCAAAGCGCTCTTGATTAAAAATGAAACCCCCAGACCAACTTCCAGTAACAAACAGATCAAATTCAAATTATTTTGGAAATATTGGATTTGAGAAATTAGAAATTTGATTGGCTGATAGCAGCAATACTTCACAAGCTATTATATCATCCCTAGCAGACCTCTTATAGTCTCCTTCAATGAAACAGCATGCAAAACTGTAGGAAACAGCTCTTTAGCAGTCACAGCAGCCCCTAGTAACAAACCAGTACCAAAATTGACAGGTGATCTTAAAATTGTGTACCATGTAAGCCTATGATGTTTCATCAGAATTAAATCATGAGTCATTACTATGTTAATACGTTTTCCTATCTAAAAGGGTAAAGTAAAGGCACCATCAACACTGAAAAAAACATTTTGGAGCAAGGTGTGCTTCCTTCTAGATGACGTCTTGGGAATACTGCCGTTTTATATCTTAACTTATGGATTGGTCTACACAATTTGTTTTAGTAGTGACGAAGAAGAAGAAGAAGAAGAAGAAAAATGTCAACATGTTGTTGATAATTATTTAAGGTTCAGTGTCTTTTAGTAGATATTTTGAAACCAGTTATGTGACAATTGTGAATTGACAAATATTCAGCACCTTCCTTAGGCTCTGGGGCATCCAAACAGATGGGGGGTGGGGAAGAAGAAAAACATTTAAAAAAAAAAAAGTTTTTAGTTGGCTACAAAAGAAAGGACTCATTTGGCTAAAAACATGTCGACATTAAATAAATGAACTGTGTTGATATTGGTAACTGGTTTGCAAAAAATGGAATTAATTTGAATAAAACCCAAAGAAATTGTGTTGAAGTGTTACAATTTTGTTCCATCAACAACTGAACTTTATGTTGAGGTAATAAAGTCTGTGTATACCGACTCTACTCAATTTGATTCAATGGAAATGTGTGGCATAATTGAATTTTGAGCTTATACAACAATTTATTTTAAGTGCATCCAAGAACAGACAAAATGGTAGCAGATGATTCTCAACATCTTGGAAGAAGGCATTCAGTGTTGGAGAGTCAAAAGAAGGCTTTTACAGTGTTATTATCTGTGTGTGATTCAAACACTAGAACAACATTTAGGTGCACTGCACTTCATCTGTAGAGTCAAGTTTTCTGAGTTTACACAGAACACAACAGCCATGTGTATCTAGTTCTAAACAAATAAGCCACACAAACCATCTGTTTACTGATACTGAGACCACACAAGTGAGCACAAATACTGTGAAAATACCATCAATTTTAGTTAATTTCTTTAAAAAATGTTGAATTCAATATTTAAAAACATTATGGGATCAAAGCATATGCTTGCATTTCTGTGAAAGCACCCTCTTCAGTTAGGCCTAAACACGTTCATCACAAATATTTCTATATCAGATGTTGAAAGCTTCATTGTTGCATACAGAAGTAGTGCTGACTTTACCAATTTGCTTTGCAAAAAACACAAAATTACTGTAAAATCCAACATTTTGACTTCTTTGGTGAGACACTCAACCTGTTTCTCCCAGAATGCAGCATTTACATAGAAAACTACAATATTTCCACCATCAATTTACAGCACTTCTTTTCAGTGTGAGCATCAGAGGGCTATGAAAAGCTTCACAACAGCGTCTTCAGTACGATTAAAACACAGAGAGTGCAAAATAATGAGGAGGACTTGAAGGATAGTTTTCTGGTTGTTTAAAGAAAAGAAAAAAGAAAAACACCCAAGTCAATATATTTGAGACATAATAGATTTGGAAAGGTAGGATTTTTCAGGAGCGCTGAGATGAAAAGGCTCTAGAACCAGCCCTGATATATTCTGTAATACTTGCTGACTGTTTTTGTCAATGTTGTATTGAATGTTTGCTGCTGCACCAACATTTTACCGCAGTGGTTAATGAAGTGTTACCTTAAATTCATATGAAGTACACTCAGCACTTTGTTTTTCGTGTTAAGACTCTTAACCACAAAACCATGAGCCAGTTTTCTGACACCACAAAGTTCAGTAAGACCTTCCTCAAAGACCACAACAAACCATGAGAAAGAACATTTGTGGTGAACTGACTCCTCCCACCTTTCTATTTAAACTCTTCTTCTTCTCCAAGGAGATCAAACTCTCTCCAAAGAGCATCATGACTCTCATTTCTCTGCTTCTGCTGGCTGCTCTGCTGCCATACCTGAGCCACTCTGGTAAGCGTCATTTACAAATACCTACTTTCTCTGAATTGTTCTTACATTTAAAGCTTGATTAAAGTTAGTGTTGTTATTCGGCTTTCAGAATTCTCACATGTAATTTTCAGATGCACAAGTTATAGAATAAAATCAGTCTGTTGTAGGTAATTTACTTCTAATTTAGAGTGTGATTATAACACCTCCACCTTCTTTCTCTCTCAGCCAGTGTTAATGTTGGTATAGTGAATGGTACAGAGGCTAAACCTCACTCCAGACCCTACATGGTGTCTATCCAGAAAGATGGAAGACACATCTGTGGCGGCTTTCTTGTGTCTAAAAAATTCGTCATGACGGCTGCGCACTGCTGGAAGAAGTAAGCTTTTATTTATAGTGTTTTCTTGATTAAATATTGGTAAAATATGTTTTTTTTCAAGGTTACAAACTTTCTCCAGTCTTTGCTTACAAAGTTGGTTGTCTGGACAAATTTCAACCAATTAATTTGGAGTCACCTGACTATGAAATAAGGTTTGTTAAAATGCATGTATAATCTCCCATTCTCATTGAAATTAAATTTTAAGAGGAACTTATGAGTGATTAATTAGCAATAATAAACAATATATTACATATTGTCACATTCCAGAGAAAAAACAAGTGTCTCTAAAATAGTAACTTTACAAGAGAGAGTGAAACCTTTAGCTTAAGTTGATGCAAAGAGATTTTATTTCAAGCCATTTTGGAGCATTTCCATATATTATAAAATTTTCACACAATGTAAAGGGCAGTTGCTGAGATCAAATTAGACAGAAAACTAAAATTTTGCAAAAAAAAAGAGATACTTGTTTGTTGTGGACAGTGACGATACGGGTCATTCTCCATTTGGAGTGGGAAACCATGTTACAAAGGTTGCAGGGCTTAAAAAGATGCTTAAAATATTAGGCACAGCTCAAAAAGTCTGGATGTACATTTACACAGTTCATCTGAGATTAAATAATAATTTTCCCTTATGATTTCTCAATTATTTCTTTTTTTATCCTGTCTCATACTCACTCTACATACATAAAACAGCTCGTCACAAATAATTTTTAACATTTGAGAAACCATTTTTAATATGAGGTTTAACTTCAGACTTTGTATAAAACAGATTCATGTTTACTTTTTATATCATTAACGTTATGCTACATTTTAAGAATACGCATTTTATTTTAAAAATTCATTTGTCGAGTCCTCACTACATTTCATTAATGTATTAATAATTTTGTTTATCAGGCGGCACTGTGTCACCGGTGTTATGTGCTTTAATGGCTGGGTTATTAAAATGTTGTCAAAATAATGCCATATATTATTGTATTACTGATTTTAAATAGGTGCACAAGGTCATCTGACTGACAATAAATCAGCCAATTTACAAAATCCTCAGTTTTAACCAGAATGTCACTGGAGTCACAGCCACTGGTGTTACACCATATTCATATAACACCAGTGACTGTAAAATATGTTTGAAATTAAACTCTTCTTTTTGCATATATAATAATATGAGATGTTAATGGACATATTAAGATCATTTAGCTTTGACCCATATATAAAATGTGTAGCATGAGTATTTTTTTTTTCCTAAACAGCGAACCGAAGCTTACAGTAGTGCTGGGTGCTCATGATCTGTCAAAGAGCAGTGAAGGCTCCTTCCGCATGGATGTGAAGTTTTACTACCGCCATCGGCAGTTCAATCCACACACTTTAGACTACGATATCATGCTATTGAAGGTAAATAACTACACTGAGGCACATAAAAATACTAGCCGATCGTTCCCAAGTTTGGCTGGGGCTACTGGACAACATAGATTATTGGTTCTACATAGTAGCAAACAAGGTTCTTTGACTTGTAACAATAGTGAAACTCCTTTTGCTGCTTCTTAAAACCATTTAAAACCAGTGGTTCTTTAAAGAAACATATCCATTAGGTTTTCCTCTTTAAGAAAAAAAAAATTAAAGAAACATTTCATCATTTATGCATATATTCAAATGGTCCTTTGAGTCTTCACAGTTCTATAAGAATGCAGCTGCCACCTGCTATAGATTCTCTGGTGCTTGGGGAAATATATGAGAGTTTAGTTTGACTTCTTTAGGAGGAAATGAATTGCAGCTCTAAATATCCCTCATGCAGTAATTAACCCTTTAAGTGCCCAGGCTCATTGCTTCCTACAGTTTATTACCTAGTAATTACATGGACTAACATGGCTATAAAGTACAATACATTTTTATGAATATTTATAGCCATGATTATAATGACAAATGAATGCATTCTTATAGGCTTGTTATTCATAGAGCGTGTTACCACTGAAAGTTTACATTTATCACATTCTGCCAGCTTGTTGATCATTTAGCATGATCTTCCTACAGTTGCGTAGAAGAGTCAGAAGGACCAGAACTGTCAGCTGGATCTCCATCCCTCAAAGAGATGAGGACATCCCGGCCAACACGGTCTGCAGTGTAGCTGGCTGGGGACGCACAGGAGCCTTTAGACCCCCAGCTAACCGTCTTCTGGAGACACGAACCACGATCATAGACAGGAGAAGGTGTGCTTACTATTGGAACAATTTAACCCAAAGGATGGTGTGTGCACATTATCCTGGAGGATCTTGTCAGGTATGAAAAAATACAGGCTGTTTATCTGACCCAATGATGTACATCATGAAATACATACATTTTGACAATTACACAACGAAGTAATACAATGATTTGTGTTGTTGTTAACAGGGAGACTCTGGAGGTCCTTTGGTGTGTAATAATGTTGTAGTGGGTATTGTTTCTTTCGGTGAGCAGCGCTGTGATTCAACAGCAAGGCCAAATGTTTATGCCAGAATTTCCGCCTTCCTGCCCTGGATCAGGTCCATTATCGCAAGAGGGTAGTCTGCAAAAGAACCAAAAAGGAAGCACTCAGCTTCTTTCATTTCAATTAAAGCATTTCTCAAGCATATTCTTTACTGTCTCCAGTTTCAGTTTTCTTCTGTTCCAAAACTACTGCAGGGAGTGACACAAATAAGGGTTTAAGCACATGGATTTATCAGGGAAATGTCAGAGTGAAGTTGAGTCTGTGGGGTGATGCTCACACCCACCCAATTCAATGACTAATCACATCCGCCTGCATACACAAAATCTACTGTTGTTCTTGCCCACTCCTGCCCATGCCTGAACAGCCTCCACTAACATTACAACATCTTACAACATGACAACATATCAGCAGCAACAGCAACAATAAGTTTTCTTTTTACAGAAAAGAGTGTGAAGCATCCTGAGAGCCACTTTGCATGGCCCCAGCCCTTTCTTCTAAAGTTTCTAATGGCAGCATATCTTTGGGGTAATAATAACAAAGTGAACTGTAATTGACAAAATTAAAGAAATTAACAAATACCAACTAACAAAACTGTGTGGAACGTCCATTGCTACTATATTTAGAAATGGGCAGCTAAGGCCTACACAAAGAACCACTCACGTTACCAATACACTTTGCGTTTTTCTCAGAATGCAGCGTTGATACAGAATTACTTTGTAGGTAAGGAATGCAGTAGATCACTGCAGTATTTCCATAGGCAGTTTACGGCACAAGCATAAACATATGCATAAGCAGGTTACAAAAAGCTTCACACCAGAACCTTCAAACCAAGAAAGTTCAAAATGATGAGGAGAACTCGAAGGATAGTTTGCTGGTTGTTTACTGCAGCATTTCAGTAAAAGCAAAAAGAAACAGATCAGATTCTGTCTATTTTGGGAAAGAATTAATTTGGAAAAGCAGGATATTATCAGGAGGACTGTGATGATACACACTGTAAAATTCACTGACTGTTTTTATAAATACTGAATTGAATGTATGCTGCTGCACCACCTACATTTCCCAGCAGGAATTAATAAAGGGTGGTCTTACTGTTACTGATGTAAAACTGCTTCAATCTCTAAACTTTGATTTCTGGCCTCCACTCAGCCTGTGTGTGAGAAAAACTGCCCAGGAGTCTGAACTGTCACCTCATTCATTTATTGCTCTGTGTTGAAGTAAAAAGTTAAAACAGTTTGTTGTCAGTGAGAAGGTGTAATGCAGAAACCCCTCTCCTTTCAGCTCTCACTGCAGACTACATAAATATACACTTACAAAACATAGTCTTCTCCCAAAGAAATTTATATGAAAAAAATAATAAATTAAAATACATATAATATTCAAAGTGCAAGTTATCACAGGGTTAAAGCTTTATAAAAATAAAATCAACAACAGACATGTCTCATATGATAAAATATTAGCATACAATAGGCAAGAGTAATATTCAGATGGCTTGTGCATTAAAACCCATGGATTTAGAATAAAAAAAAGTTGGGATGCTTAATTAAATCTTAATAAAAACAGAATGCAATGATGTGCAAATTGTTTAAACCCTATATTTAATTGAAAATAGTACAAAGACAACACATCAAATGTTGAAGCAGAGAAATTTTTCTGGGGTCTACTTTGTTGTATTTTTTTTCGTTTCATAATGTGCTATAATAATGTTTTTTTAAGTGGGTGATACGAGGTGGGACTGCAGGCAGGCCAGTTTACTACTCAGACTCTTTCACTACAGAGTCATGCTGTTGTAATATGTGCAAAATGTGGTTTGGCATTGTCTTGCTGAAATAAGCAAAGTCTTTCCGTGTAAAACACTACATGTCTGGATGGCAGCACATGTTGCCCCAAAATCTGGATTTATTGTTCAGCATTAATTGTACCTTCACAGATCACCCATGCGATATGCACTAATGCACTACCAAACCATCATAGATGCTGGCCTTTGAATTGTGTGTTGATAACAAGTTGGATGACCCCTCTCCTCTTTAGCTTAGAGGATGTGGCATCCATGTTTCCAAAAAAAAAAGCTTCAAATTTTGATATGTTGGACCACAGGACACTTTTCCACTTTTGTCTCAGTCCATCTTAAGTGACCTTGGGCCCAGAGAAGTTGGTGGTGTTTATAAATCCGGTTTTATATAGTTTCTTCTTTTTGTGGCAGAGTTTTCACTTGCATTTGTGGAGGCGGCAACAAACTATGTTTACAGACAGTGGTTTACAGAAGTGTTTGAGCCCATGCAGTGATTTCCACCATAGAACCTTGTCTGTATTTTAATGCCAGCCAGCCAGCATTGGTTTTCAGCCTTGCCCCTTGCATACAGAGATTTTTCCTGATTCTCTGAATCTTTTAATGATATTATGTATCGTAAACGATGAAATCCCCAAGTTCTTTGCTATTTTACTTTTGAATTGAATTTTGGCACCATTTGCTTGTGCAGTCTTTCACAGGGTGTTGAGCTCCTCCTCATCCTTTCTTCTGAAAGACTCAGCCTCTCTGGGATGCTCTTTTTATATCCAGTCATGTTACTGACCTGTTGCCTTTTAACCTAATTAGTGGTGAAATGTTTCACCAGGTGTTTTTTTTTTTTAGCATTACACAACTTTATTAGTCTTTTGTTGCCCCTGTCCCAACATTTTTTGAAATGTGTTGCTAGTATCAAATTCAAAATGGGCATATATTTTTCAAAAAACAATAAAATTTATCAGTTTCAACAGATGTTATCTTTGTATTGTTTTCAATTAAATATAGGGTTTAAACAATTTGCACATCATAGCATTCTGTTTTTATTTACATTTTGCACAGCGTCCCAACTTTTTTTGAAAATAAGGCCATAAACTCTTCCTCAAGGAGAACAATCTCTCTCTCTCTACATGACTCTTATCTCTCTGCTATAAAATGTTCTGTACTGTCACAGACTTTCTCTTTTACATATTTCTAGTATGAAGATGCTCTAAATTTTATGTACCCATCCCACTGTTGACATTGTATGTGCTATTTGAAAACCAACTACAAAATATTTACCAGAAAGTTATAGCATAATTTTTATGTGTAATTTAGTTACTGTTGTTTGTGTGATTCAAAGATTAGATGACAGACTAGAGCAGCATTAAATTACACTGCATTTCATCTGTAATGTGAAGTTTGAGTTTGCATCATTGACACAGAACACAGCAGCCACAAGACAGCATGCTTGTAGACCTGTTGCTTCGAATTAAACAAGCTGTCCAAACTATCAGTTTACTGATAGTGAGACCACAGAACTGACCACAAATACTGCTTTCAGAAAGCAACTTGAAGAACAAAAGCCAACTTGACCTCAAACTGCACACAAGAGAAACGTAAAGTCTTTTGAAGGCTTTTTTTGGTAGTTCCTTTAAAAACTCTTAAATGTAAGATTTAAATCAGCAGTGATGGGATCAAAGTGCACCCTACTGAATGACACAAATATGTCAGCATCAGCTGCTGAAAGCTTCACTGTGACATACAGATGTACATTTATTACTTACATCTACTTATATTACTGTATGACTGGCTACAAGAGTGTCCAACTATTGATTACTAGAAAACTGAAACAACTGCTGACACTTCTCTTGTTTAATGTGAGCGCTCTTTATTAAAAAAACAAACCCCAAGACCAACTATCAACCCACCCTCCGTGCCCTTTTAATTTGAGCAACAAAAGTTCCAAGAGCAGATATAAATATCATGTAGCCCTTCATTACTTAACTAGTGTCTGACACACAAAACAACATTATGGTTATTATGGTTAGAAAACCAAAATGTAACACAATTTCAAATGTATTTTTGGGGTAAAAATAGAAAAACTTCCATGAAGTGAACTGTATTTGACAAAATGAACCTTCCTGTTACTCTCAACCGTTAGTAACAGCAATAATGTTCCCAGGTCAAACTAACCCTTTCAAATCAAATCATACTAAATGAGCTGTAAGTCCAGCAGAAGACGTTTCATGCTCCAAAAATGATTAAAAATATTTTTCCTGGTTTTTTAACTTTGAAACAAATTAATTTGGCCCACAACATAAAACAAATGAACAAAATGAACAGAAATGCAAAGAAGCTGCACTCCAGTTACTACAATTTCTAGACACAGGCTCAAGACTACACAAAGTAGCGCTCACTTTAAAAATATGCTTTGCTAAAAACAGTAATTTTACAAATTACTGTAAAATCCAGCATTTTAACTTTTTTTGGCAAGATGCTTGTCCTGTTTCTTCCAAAATGCAGCATTTTACAGCACTTCTTTACAGTGTGAGCATTAACGAGTTATGAAAAGCTTCACATCAGCATCGTCAGTATGATTAAAACCAAGAAAGTGCAAAATGATGAGGAGAACTCGAAGGATAGTTTGCTGGTTGTTTACTGCAGCACTGCATTAAAAGCAAAAAGAAACAGATCAAATTCAATATATTTGGGACATAATAGATTTGGAAAGTAGGATTTTTCAGGAGGTCTTGTGAATGCTGTATACAATGTTTGCTGCTGCACCAACATTTCACTGCAATGGTTAATGAAGTTTTATCTTATCTTAAATTCATATGAAATACATTAAGCACTTTCTTTTTCAAGTCAAGACTCTTAACCACTAAACCCTGAACTGATTATCAGACACCACAGAGTTCAATAAGACCACAACAAACCATGAGAAAGAACATTTGTGGTGAACTGACTCTTCTCACCTTTCTTTTTTCTTCTTCTTCTCCAAGGAGATCATGACTCTCATCTCTCTGCTTCTGCTGCTATACCTGAGCCACTCTGGTAAGCGTCATTTAAAAATACCTACTTTCACTGAATTGTTCTTACATTTAAAGCTTGATTAAAGTTAGAGTTGTTATTCGCCTTTCAGAATTCTCACATGTAATTTTCAGATGCATACATTACAGAATAAATCTGTTTGAGGTAATTCACACTGAGTATGATTATAACCCCTCCACCTTCTTTCTCTCTCAGCCAGTGTTAATGTTGGTATAATAAATGGCACGGAGGCTAAACCTCACTCCAGACCCTACATGGTGTCACTGCCGAGAGAAGTAAGCTTATATTTATAGTGTTTTCTTGATGTGGGTCTTAGGATGA